TTATATACACATCAAAATGTGCCAATTTTTAAGAAAATTAGTATTTTATAAACACTAGAAGCCATATTTAAGCTCTTGAAAAAAAAATAAACGTTTTTTTTCAAACTCTGCTCCGCTTAGGGGGGGAAAGGTACCTTAAACCTACATTTGTAACAAATTTATTAAATATGAAGAAAAAAATTTTTTTGGAATAAACAGAGAAAACTCTGTTTTTTTCACTCTTTTTCAAAAATTTTTTACTCTGGTAAATGTAAATTGAGGTCCCAGTCACCATAGAACCCTCCTCGATGAAGCAAGCCCACAGTCCTCACAGGTATCCCTGTGCCGTATGTTCCAGCTAGAACCGATGGTTCAATCATGGTCATTGGGGTCTCATTTTGATCATTAGATGTGTGGTGACAAACGCAAGCACTTTCAGATTTTTTAAATTAGTTATACACATTTATTCATTAATATACATTCGGCAACAAAATTATCGCAACAAAAAAATTCATCGGAATTTCGTCGATTTTCAAATGCTTCTATCTTGGGCTAGATTTATCGTATCGACACGCTTTTTTTTTAATTTCTTGGAAATTTTGTCCTCTTTAAATCCATATAAATTAAGATAAGATTCAAGTAATTGTTGAGTTACCAGTAGTATTTGAGCGCGACACTAAAAATTACTGAAAAAAAAGACTGTTTGAACGTGTACCACAGTAATTTTTCTATGGAAATTTAACATACACTATCGTAAAGTGCTCTTTTCAACGAGTAATTTAAAAAAAAAAGGACCTCTCTACGATTTTTTTAACGCCCTCTAGGTCGTTTTGAAGGTACGGTTTGTGTACGCAAAATGCCCAGAAAATCGTCTTGATTTCAGCTAAATGGGGGATTTTACGTACCTTAAATGGTATCTTCAAAACGACCTACAGGGCATTGAAAAAATCGTAGAGAGGTCCTTTTTTCTTAAATTACTCGTTGAAAAGAGCACTTTGCGATGGTGTGTGTTAAATTTCCATAGAAAAATTACTGTGGTACTGGTACACGTTCAAACAGTCATTTTTTTTCAGTAATTTTTAGTGTCGCGCTAAAATACTACTGGTAACTCAACATTAACTTGAATCTTATCTTAATTTATATGGATTTAAAGAGGACAAAATTTCCAAGAAATTAAAAAAAAGCGTGTCGATACGATAAATCTAGCCCAGGATAGAAGCATTTGAAAATCGACGAAATTTCGATGAATTTTTTTGTTGCGATAATTTTGTTGCCGAGTGTATATGATAAAATGACAGATTATGATACCACATAGCCTGAAAAAAGTGCTCATTTGTCCCAATACCTTTGAAAGTGCTTGCGTTTGTAGCCATTCTCATGTAGAACAATCCCTGAAAATTTCAGCTCATTTGCTCAAACGGTTCACATGGAAAGTTACAGCAACAAAGCAATTTTGAGATGAAACGTAACTGCCCAAGAGTTAAAAAAAAACAAAATACACCAATTTACGTCATAATGATACTCTCATGTCACTGAGGCTGTTTTGAACTTTTTGGACAATAAAAAAAACTAATTCAACTTGAATTTTCAACATATTAGACCCACAAGGACAATGTTCAATTATTCCAGAGAGACACACAAAGCCAAATGCGACAATTTTATCACTATAATATATAAGTTGTACTAGAATGTTAGTATACGCTAATATGGGTTTTATGGGGAAACTGGTAACTAAGTTGATTGTGTCCAAATCAACTTTTCACACAAATATACACAATCTCACATTAGAACTTGAACTCAGTCCTCTACCTATTCACTCACATTCATAAAACATTAATCATTGGATCTATAGTTGGAAATAAAATCACTCAAAATTGATCAATTATTACTAATCTTGTTTATCACATGCAACATACAATAATATACATGATACAGTCATATACACACACATAAAGTACAGTGACATACATATACACTGATGTATTGATGCGATTCCGGCTAGACGAGAGCGCTCAAAGAAGCTGGCGTACGTTGTTCTATCTCGTTGGCAGCGGTGGCGTCTGCGCTCCGTTTACTAGCGCTCTGAAGTGACGAGGGTCGGAGCCGGGTCGAGGCGCGGGATCCGCGCAGGTAACTCCGCAGTCTCCGGTCCACGAGGTGTAGCAGGATCCGCCGGTGCAGATGCAGCTCCTTGGCGGCGGCGATGTACTCCTGGAGGTGTAATGTCGCTACGACAATCAATAAAAGAACAATATATGCAACCTAAAACCCTGCCTATTCCAATCATCGTAAGATGATCTGTAATCTGGAATTAAATAAATTAATAAAATTATAACAGCCAATAATATTTGAACCATTAAATCGAACGATTAAATCGAACCAATAATTGAACCATTAAATAGAATTGTAACAGCCAATCATTTTTGAACCATTAAATTAATAAATAAATCAAATTGTAAATAAATCAATAATGAAATCTTTCGGTTAGAATAATAGTTAATAATATTCGCCATTAACAATAAATTATAAAATTGTAAGATAAAACAGTAACTGTTTTATCATGAGAACCTAAATCTGTACGAACACTTGACACAGAGAAATGTAGTGGCGCTTTGAGCATCAGTAAGAAAGCCTTTCTCTTTTTCAAAAATAAGATGATTGAGCTGATGATGATGGATCACTTCCTTCTCTCGTTCTCCGACTCTCAGTGTGAAAGGTGCTCTGTGTAAAAGTTCTCTCTCTGTGTCAATCAAGTTCGAGGTTCACAATGTAAGTCTAACTTAAAATAAATATCATAATTATAATTATAATAATCTTAACTCATTCTTTCTATTTCTTTTTAATATTATAATACTTTTCACCTATCATTTAAATATAACAAACATGTCTTCCTAATAATAAGTCATGGTCATAGAGACAATTAACGTTATCGTTTTGCCTCTGTGGAATTGATTGCCCCTTTCCCAAATAATTTATTAATAACCAAGCAACAGAGAGAATGTCGAACAGCGCAACAATACCCTGAGTTATTGTACGTTCGTTCGGCAGACTCGAAAATCGGAATACTTAGGCCAAACAACGAATTAACTGTCTCAGGATAATTAATTACGTTACAAGGTGGTGGTCGGCGGCGGCGGCTCCGGTCTTGCGTCCTTGTGCTCTGTAAGCAGAGGTGACTTGGAAGGAGTGGGTAGAGGACAGCTCACCGAATAAACAACAAAAGATTTACTCGGATCCAAAAGTTCGATTTTTATTTACACTCCTTTTCGAATCGGAGCGAGCTCGATTCTGCTCGTCCGATGTGCCTCTATATAAGGCTACAACTCGTGTTTCTTGATTGCGGGTTTCAACCTCGCCTTCTAGCGACGCAACTTAATATTAACATCATTCTATTTACAATTCTCCGGAGAGTGACATCTGCAGAAGTCAAATCTTAATTTATATCAGTATATATGTCAATTTACATATGTACTGCTGTATTTCTTGGATTTGAACTGCTAAAAATGTCACCTTTTCATAAAAAACTATTGAAACATCTTCATAGATTTATTATGAAACACTATGTCAATTTGCAAAGATATAACTTCACTGTACATGTACTTTTTCCACTTTCAAAAAAATGTAATTTTTAGCCATTGGAAAATCAAGATGCAGTCAGCAGACTGTTATTGACATTTGATCCGGGCTCGCGCACGAAACAGAGAGAGACAGAAGATATGCCAAAACCAACGTGCTGCGAGTGGTGCCGTTACTGTGCACCTATAGCCATGTAAACAAACAAATTTCTGCTAGATGTACTCTAACCAAAGAATAAAACGAGTATCAATAGATGGCGCTACCGTCTTATGAAAGTCTCGAGATTCATGAGAGAATGGCAACGATATATCTTTGAGTTGTTTCATTCATTTTTTCTAAAAAATCGTAAAAGTAACGGTACTAAATAGGCTGTACCTCACGATACAGTTAAAATTTTAAAATTCCGATCACGGCACTGGAAAGCTGAGGAAAAACCCTATCAATAAAGTCAATAGAAAAAAATTTTTTTTTTGAGATTTTAGTTACCTTTCCCCCCTTAAGTGGATGAGGGTACTTTTATGAAGATTTTGAGACCCCATAGGTTAATATTGATGAGGAGCTCACGTCAGAATCGTGTGGCAAGTGAATCCTATTATAATATTTAGTATTAGGAAAAAAAGGCGTAATTGGCATTTCAGAGCTTGGGTAGAAGTTTCTTTTGGTCAATCAGGTGTCTAATGAACACATTTTACTATCACAAAAAAAATTTCCACTATTTCGATTCATATAGCTATTTTTTGAATTTAAGCTTTTAACACAGGTCAGACCCATTCAGGTGGCCTGTCAGCAATCATAACAATAGTACAGCAACGCTGTCTATCTCTTTCTCGCATTAGGCAGGCAACCGCTCGCACTATTCGAAATCAATGATTTTACGCACATTTTGTTCAATTACTTATTAGTTAGTTCGGTAAGGGGTAATTTTCAACATACCAATCGAAAGGTAGTGACTTGAAGCATAAAATATTCGTTTGTGGTTAAGATCTGTTGTTTAATAAAAAAGTTATGGCGTCAAATGTATTAAATTATGATTGACTACCGTAAGAGCCCATATTAAATTTGCTATTTTCAACGGCTTCGTTCTCAAAAATTAGTAAGGTAACCCAAGCTGAAATTGTTACAGCATATCAAGGACACTTTAAATGACATTTCCGCAAAGTTTCATAAACATCTGTTGTCGATCCATTTAACTGATGAGCCACTTTAAGGTGGAGATGGGGAAAACCTACGTCACACTTATAAGAAAATTAAAATTTTTCAAAAAAAAAAAAAAAAAAAAAAAAAACAATCATCTAGAGTAAATCATGTTCAATAATGTAAAATTTATCTTCAACAGTCAGATTCACTATTTAAATTTGCACTGCATACATTTATATGTTTTATACATACTAATATATTTTATACTTATTTTTACATTGTATTTATATGAAAATTCCATTTTTCAGCTCTTTTGGACTCTCTTCTGGACTGTTTGATAGTACTGAAATTGTTCTAATATAATCTTAATTATACTTGAATGAGGCTGAGAAAGATTGAGGTTTTCAAATCAATATGGACAAACCTATGAAGACGATTCAAATTATTGTGCGAAACCTTGATGTTAATGGTAGTGAGTTAATCTATTTTATTCTATATCTAGCTAAAATAGTCCGGATAATACCTCTATCAAGATGATTAAAATGGCTATGCAGGTGATATTACAGCCTCTATAAATCATACATTATAAATCGCTCTGTCAAGACTGGCATCTTTCCCTCGGTATGGCTGCGAACATTTCTGCTGTCTCTGGCAAAGAAACGTACCATCACCGATATCTCGCAAACCAGGCCTATTGCAAAATTGTGTGAGGTCTCGAAGCTCTGTGAACGTCTCCTTCATGACCAACTGTCGCCCTACCCTGAAACTAACCACCTTTTAAATCCACGCGGGCTTCAGAAGAGGCCATAGCACTCATACGGCGCTGTTGGCGGTCCTGGGCGATGTGCGAATGTCAATTGAGGAGGGAAAGATTACTGTACTTGTCTTAATTGACTTCACTAAGGCATTTGACATGGTGCCGCATCGCACTCTGCTTGCTAAGCTGCGTAAATCAAATTTCTCGGACCGGTCTGTCCGGTGGATTGCGTCGTACTTGTGTGAGCATACGCAGGCTGTACTTGGCTCTGATGACTTGTGCTCTGAGTGGCTGCCAACGACCTCGGGTGTTCCGCAAGGCAGCGTCCTTGGACCCCTTCTATTGTCCACTAAAAGCATATGTTGTTCGCGGACGATCTCTAGGTCTATTACTCATTCTTCCCGCACGATCTCGAGATCGGTATCCACCGTCTTAACAGGGACATAGTGGCCGTTGCGGTTTGGGCGACAGGTAATGGACTCAGTCTGAACGTGAGGAAGACGAAGGCAATCATACTCGCAAGCTACCCTTACTACCGTCAACTGGACCTGCAGCGTATCCCTCGTGTTACCCTGAACTCCATACTCGGCCGAGGTCCAGTGCTTGGGCTTGTGGTTTCAGACGGGCCTGCGCTGGTCTAGGCAGGTCGGCTCGGCGTCTGGGCGAATTTATGGGGTCCTTCGACGCCATCGTTGACTGCTTTCCAGGCAGAACAGGAAGGAGCTCTTTGAGGCTTTGGTTTTCCCCCACCTGGATTATGCGTGTGCAGCTTACGATGACCTACTCGACTACCACAATATCCAACTCCATCGTGCTCTCAACGCGTGTGTGTACTTCGTAGTCGCTTCTATTGGTCGACGTGAGCGTGTAACACCGTACCGTCTTGGACTGGGCTGGCTGTTGGTGAATCTGAGGCGCCGATACTTCATCGCTTCCATCGCGTACACCTGCCTTGCGCAGGGTACCCCCTCGTACCTGGTGAAGAACTTTAAACTGGCTGTAAACAGTGGAATTGAGCTATTCTCTTCTCGTCTACCCCGACGAACGCTTTACTATCGGCCTGTGGATACTGCTGCACTTTGTTAAGACTTTGTCCTTACGTCTCAGAGGTATGGTAGCCCTGAAAAGGGATGTTTGCTTTCTTCTGTTCACAGGCCGCTGTGTTCTTGTCAAGTTTGGAGTTATTGCTGAAGTGCAACCGCTCGCCTGACGTTGCGCCGTCGGTCGGACGGGGCCTTCGACTGCTTGCCTCGTTTGGGATGCTGTTTGGTGACGATGATGGGCTCTTGAAAGCGCTCGCCGAAGAGTCGCCGCGAAGAGATTGACGCTTTCTTCGCAGGTGACGACGTTCGTTGCCTTGTCGGTCGGCGGGCGGGAAATTCTACCGGTGCTTCAATCCACACCTTGATAGGTTTGAGAAGGTGAGGCGACTCGAACTCGGGGACGAGCCTCGGGCACGCAGAGAGTTGGGCGAGTTTGCTGTCGAATGCAGGCGGGGTTGTCCAGGAGGCTGGTAGGTCGCAAGACTGTGTTCCGTGGCGGCACGATGACAACAGAGGCCAGCTAGTGTTCCTTGGCGAAACGGGAGTAACGTGGCTGCCGCGTTTTATATCCATTTCGGATAGCGCTGTAGTGTAATAGTGGAGGGAAGCTTCGAAAGGGCGAGAAAACTCCCGGCCGGTAGTGAAGTGGCTGAGTTCGAGGGTGGCCCTGAAAAGGATGGCCGAGTCTCGTTAGGCTCCACTTTTTAGATGAGAACTTGAGTCAATTCGTGAAGAGTTTATCAGCCAAGTAGCAAACTACTTGGCTGATTTCAGCGTTCGGATTTTTTAGTCTTTAGGGAAAGACTTTTTTGACCCTCTCTTGACTAATCCAGCCAGAGAGATGATCTTACCTTTCATGGACCGGAGCGGTCCTGAAAAGGTTCGTTCGACCTCGATCGGCTCCGCTTCTCGAATAGAAATTCGATTTGTACGAGCACAGAGTTGCAGCGAAGTACTGCTACTTTGGCTGGTGTTGCGTTCGAGTTTTTAGTCTTTAATAAAGACTAATCTAATCTTTCCTGGCCAAGCCGGCCAGGAAGTTGATCAGATTTTAGCTGAGCAAGTGTAGCCCTGAGAAGGTCCGTTTCGATTGAATTTCTTAAAGTCTTGAGGAGACTTCAGAAATTCAATCGCCGGTTCGATCGTAGCCCTGAGAAGAGCAACTTTACGTTGTTTTGAAAAGTCCGAAGGGGACTTGTTATGTTTTGCAAACGAAAAAAATGATAGTCCTGAAAAGGACAGTTCGTTGTGTTGTAGAGGCCTCGTCGAAATCTGAAAGGTAGTGGAGTAGAGAAACCGATCCCAGCTTGTCGTTGGAGTTTCTGTGGTCGTCCTTGAGAGGGTAGGTGGAAGAAAGACAACTCAAAGATTTTAAGTTTAGAAAAAAAAGTAATCTTTATTTGTCAATGTCCCTATCCGAGTGACCCTCTGGGAAGGCAGTAGCTCCTTGGATTGCCAAGGGGCTTGCTGCCGATGTGTCGCGGTCGAGAGCTCGACCGCATGTGAACTCCGCCGGCCGGGCGCGCTGTACTTATACCAGGGCGCAGCGGCGGCGCGCCATTGGCCGGCGGAACTGGGGTGGGGAGCGCACGCAGCTGTTTCTCGTTGGGAAACGGAGAACAGGCGCCGATCCGAACTCGGCGAGCCAAGTGTTCAAGGAGTTCGGAAGTGGCGTGATCCGACTGTGATGTCGAAGAAATGGCGCGGATCCGACTTTAAGGTCGGGCCGCGTATATCAACTTCAAAACTCATTTACCTACATAGCTACGGACCTCTTCCCTGAAACCATCCTTTTCGACCCTCACATCATTTTATGAACTAAACAGACCATATTTTTCGAACTGCTCGCCATCGACAACGATAATTGACAAATTCAAACTTAACTCAACCCCAGCTTGCAAATCTCACTCGCCTTTCCATCCAACTCAGCTTTTCATTTGTTGATTAAATTTGTAAATAATTTTTGTTAAATACATGTATCTCTAAAGTGCACACAGGGTTCGCCCTAAGCCCAATAAAGAATCTATCTATCTACAGTAGACCCTCCGTATTCGCGGTCTCCGTATTCGCGGAATTCGCATATTCGCGGTTTTCCTATATACACCCTCGTTTTCTATTCGCGGTTCGATTATTCGCGGTTTTTCATATGGATCCATAGCCTAGTTCATTGTTTTGCAATGTATATTGTTAATAGGTTATTAAAATCAAAATTATAAACTCTTTAATTTTATCGTGGCCTGCTTGTTCGTCTAAAATCGACCATCTCGTAATGGCTCCTAGCAATAAAAATCCAATCAAAAAAAGGGAGAAAAAAGTAATGACATTGGCTAAAAAGTTAAAAATTTTGAACGCGTTGAAAGCTGGTGATAAAATCGCCGTTGTTCAACAAACGATGGAGATTGGAGCAGAAATTGGTGGTGTAGGATTTGCCGATATCAATGCTCCAGAAATAATGAGTCTTATTTTACTGAGCGAACAAAATTCCTCGGCTCGTGCTGCGTCGGTGAGGGTGATCGGCGTCGGCGAGATCGGCGTCGAGGAGATCGGCGTCGACGAGGGTGTCCTCGGTGTCGATGAGGGTGTTCTCAGTGTCGTTGAAGCCGGCACGGTGTCAGCGTGCTGGGCGGCGTCGGTGGTTGCAGCTGGACGGGCTCGCGTACTTTTCGTATAACTAACTCGCACTGATTTTATCTCATCGGAGCCGAGCAATAGGCTGGCTTGCAAGTAAACTGCGAACTTTGACTCGAGAAGTAAAGATGTACGTGAAGACCGAGCGTCGCCGTGCACGCTTCGAACCGAGAATGAACACTGAGCCGACGAGCGTCGATGTATACGCTTTGAACCGAGAACGATAACTGGCCCCGAGACTCTCTGAGTCTCGGTTTATATACTGTTTGTTGCTGCCGTACCCTCTTTGTTTGAGCTAGGGTCACCGTGAACTTTATGTGTCCTCTAGAGCTTGCGGGTTGCGCGTTTTTTCCCATCCGTCGTGTCTGGGATTTTTAGCGGATGCTTGAGCCGTTTCCTTAGTTTCTTTGCTCGCAAGTTGTGACCTGATTTTTGCCAACATCCCGTTTCCTGCCCGAGCCGCTTATCCCATCGCCTTTTTGGCGACGGAGGCATCATAAATTTCGACTTGTAGCTTGCAAGCGCGAGCTATGCTTCCCACAAGCTCTTGCCGCTCCACGCGTCTGCGCACTCACACCAGTGCGTACCGCGGCGTACGTGAGTGGGCGCACACTAACGTTTGCTGCTCTATCCGTGTACGCACTCACACCAGTGCGTGCTGCGGTGTACGTGTGCCGTCGCACACTAGCGTTCACGGCTCTGTCCGTGTGCGCACTCACACCAGAGCGTGCTGCGGTGTACGTGTGCAGTCGCACACTAGTGTTCACGGCTCTGTCCGTGTGCGCACTTACATCGGTGCGCGCCGTGGTGTACGTGTGCAGGCGCGCACTGANGTACGTGTGCAGTCGCACACTAGCGTTCACGGCTCTGTCCGTGTGCGCACTCACACCAGTGCGCGCTGCGGTGTACGTGTGCAGTCGCACACTAGCGTTCACGGCTCTGTCCGTGTGCGCACTTACATCGGTGCGCGCTGTGGTGTACGTGTGCAGGCGCGCACTGACGTTCGTTGTACTTATCTGTATGCGCGCTCACACAATTACGTGC